ATAAAAATAATTCTTGTTTATTACACTTGTTTTTTTTAATTTTATTAATAAAAAATATCATAAATGTGTCTATTTTTTCTATATTTTTGTAATTTTTTATATTTATTTCTATTTAAAAATTTTATTATCTAACTATGATTTCATGAGTTGGCCAATTTGATTTGGATAGTTGAATTGCTTAGTCATCACTTGGATAAAGAATAATTTTGTTTTTGAGTAAATTTTAAATATATGAGTTTATATTGTTAAAAGTATCGGACATAAAACTAATTAGTAGCATTTATTAGTGAAAAAATAACTTAAATATGGAATTTAATAAGAGAGAATGAGCGTTAATACCTAAATACAAGAATTAATGAGAGGGGATTAAATAAAGTGAAAATCATTAATTGAAATTATATTTTCAACATTCATAATTAGAGATGGACTAAATAACAAATGTGGGCATTTTAGTCAAAAAAAAATCCACACCCTCATTCATACTTTTTATAGTAGTATAGATGGTCATTCCATACCCCTCACTTGGGAATGAAATCTCATTTCTGTTGATTCTAGTTCCCATTCCCATTCCCATTCTTGTCTGAACAAACAGATAAGGGGAACAAACTATTCCAATTCCAATTCCAATTCCAATTCCAATTACGATTGTGAACCAAATGGACCATTAACAGTATTTCTTTGTAAAAGGTTAAAAGCTTAATATTTTCAGTTGGTTTAAGTGGTAATGTGGCCATTCCTAGACGTTCATACAAATCGGTTGCATTTAAGTGGTAATGTGGTAATGTGACCATGTTCTTAATATAAGGTCAATAAATTAAATCGGTTGCAAAATATAGGGAGGGTTTTAGTATAGCACAAACTATATGGCAGTTTTTATTAAATCTACAAATTTATAGGAGCCTTTTAATAAATGACCCATAGTTTATTCATGGGTTAATTACTAAAATGCAATTTCACAAAACTAATTAATTCTAATACCCTGTTCGCTTTTAGGCAATTTACTTATCCGGGTAAATGCAATTATTTAGGTAAGTTTTTTCTAAGAAACACTTATCCAGGTAAGTGCATTTACCCATTCTTTTTATTTCTCAGGCAAATAAAGTAATGACCATTTTAGTCATAAAAATCCATTATTAAAAGGGGCATTTTTGTCTCATTCAAGTGTTAGCAACTCTCCTAGGTGGGAAAGTTATTTGTCCACCTAGGAGATGGGTATGGGTATCACTTACATACCCAGGAAAATAAACTTTCCTTGGTCCCCACATTAATCTTAAAAATGAACATGGGATTCTTGGTCAACCAACTTTCCCTCGTCTCAAAATCCAAGAAAGAAATGCCCCCTAAAACTACTTCTATACCTTATTTAGCCGCTAAGCTAGACAAAAAAAATTGGAAGACAAAAATGCCCTTGCTGTTCTTTAAATTTTCAAAGTATGCATTTTAAGGTTTTAACTCGATAAATAACCCAGCATTTCTGATACCTGTGATTTTCAAAACTATCAGTATATGTATGAAAATTCAACGAATCAATCACTTTTATTGCCTCCTAGGCCATGAATTTTGATTGCACGTTGAATAAATTGGGGTGAACACCCAAATGTGTATTTGAAAATTTTTGGAGCTAATGATATCCAATCTCTCTCTATTACTGTGTTGGGGGAGAGGTTGAAGACGATGAAGGATGAATAAGGAAAAAAAAAAAAAAAGGATGAGAGGAGAGAAGATGGGTAAAACTGGAATTATGTAAACCTTCAACGGACATGTGAAAGTGAAATGGGCATCAGCAGATGGTCTATTTGTGTTATGTGGGGCCATCTTACAAAGTATGTTCAAGTAGTTTTGCAAATATACTTTAGGGAAATTGTTTAAAACTCGCAATGACTTTTCAGCATTTCTCTTAAATTCACTATAATTTTTCAAAACATCCACAGAACCCCGTGTCAGTAGCTTGACGTTAAACAGACTAAATGGTTTTAATAGATTACCATTTTATCCTTTGTTAAATTCGATCCATTTTTCAATATTCTAGAAGTGCCCTATTATTATTCGACCCAAAATCCATTTTTTAGCTTCCTTAGAATACTTTCAAGGAGCACAATGAGAGCAAAATGTCTCTCAACAAGTAAAAATCTTATATATAACTATACTAGCAAGACACCCATGCAATGCACATGATTATTTATATAACAATGAAGAATAGATCTGAGATTGAGTAATTTAAATTTATAGAAGAAAAATAATAAACATGATAATTAGCTATTGCTTTGGAAGCATCATCATCATCATCATCATAATAATAATAATAATGATGATGATGATGATGATGATAATAATAATAATAATAATAATAATAATAATAATAATAATAATAATAATAATAATAATAATAGTGACTAAAAAATCATCATATGCCAAAATTAAAGCATTCAAGCTATCTTCCTCCCTCCCTCACTCTATCTATACAGGGGAGATCTCAAGTCTTGTATGGTGTATGGTCATTACTTTTTTCACCACTAAAAGAAGAAAAGGCTTATTCATTCCACTTTATCACTAATACAATAGAACAAAAGGATTCGACAGTCCAACTAATGGACCCAACTATTCAGCATGAAATCACCTTCTCACCCCTTGTCTGCATTTCTATTTAACCATTTGATAAATGCAATAAATAAGATGATTAAAAATAGAAATACTCAGTCCATTAGATTATAGATAAAAAGGTCCACAGGATTGAGCTCAGTGATTGATTGTGTGTCTCAATTCTCATTGTGATTGTAACAGATGTTTCGTAGGAACTCATAGGAAATGTAAGTCATCATAACTTTCAAGGCATGCAACAAACAGAATTACCAAATAATTTATTGTAACTTTCTGCATATTTACATGTTTGTTCAAATTTCTCTATCTTTCTTTTTTTTTCTATCATTTTTTTCCTGGGGTTTGGGGGAATTTCTATTGCTACCTATTTATGATAAGGTGCTTTGGGGATCTTACATACCATTGGCACATGCATCAGTAAAAGAAGTTTCCAATGCAGTGTTGCATTTGAAATCATGCGATTTTAGTTTTAGGTGGAAAACCTGGTTATAACCCAAGTTAATTATTAAAATAATCCCATAAAAAGAAAAAAAAAACTTAGATATTAAAAGAAACACAACATAAGAAAAAGATACATAATATTCAACATACTTGCAAAGATTTCATAGGCTTGAATCTTTGGGAAATCCAATGACCTACAAGTCAAATCAAAGAGAAGACCTCATCAAGGAAGAATGGCATTAGGAAAAGTTGCAATTATATTAAGTATGGCCTCCTAGAAACACATGGAGATAGAGACAATAGAATTGTTTTTGGAACCTAAATAAGGAAAAAAAGTCATTGACCCCTTCACAATTTGAGAAATGCTAGAGACAGAGAGGGTGAGGTGTATATGAAAAAATAAGGAAGACATTGAAAAGAGAATGTAACAGTCGTTTGAGAGAAACAAATGGAAGAAAACTTGATATCCATTTGATTTGAGATATTGTGATAGTTGTTACATGGAGATATTTTAGGTGATGGGGCAATGTAGCAACCGTTTGAGAGACTCATGAAAAAGAACTTGATATCCATCTAATTCGAGATATTGTGACAATCGTTACATTGACAACTATTAAAACTTAAGAAGCTTTTAGGACAAAATTTATCAAGAGGAGAACTGTTTATACAAAGGGAGAATCTATGATGTGGGAAAGATATGGTATGGAAAAAGTTTTGGTCAATTAAAATTCATTCATGAATTTTGACAAATAATACCTGATTCGCTTTCAAGTTTATGATTCCAGTTTATTAATCAGTTATTTTCCAGATATCATATTTTTTCCATATCATAGTTGAACCTTTATACAAAATATAACCACACGTGTAAAAATCGTGAGGAAAGAGGCCTACGTGTGAAGAATGTGGTGAAAGATAGTTAGCCTCCCCATGTTCCTCTTTATTATATAGATATAGATAAGGTAGTTGAGTGCTTAAGGGCATTTTAATCATAAAGATATGTTTAATAAGACTGACTTGCCATTCAGGGGCAATTTGATCATGAAAATTGTATTTATGTTGACGTGTACAATTACTGTCAATGAATGCTAACGGTGATTTAATGGATAGTGAGTTTTGGAAAACATAAAAACTCATTCACATGGGATTACCAATGGTGAGTTTAAGGGGGTATTCTTTTTTCGGATTTTGAGGGGGAAAATTGGTCAATGGGATTTTGATTCTCATTGACCAAGAATCCTTTTTTGTTTTTTAGATTTATGTAGGAATTGGGAAAAGTTTATTTTCCTGGGTATCATTTACCCTAGGTGGGTAAATAACTTTCCCACTTAGGGGGAAGTTGCCAATACCTAAATGGGACAAAAATGCCCCTTTTAATATTGAATTTTTATGATTAAAATGGTCATTACCTTATTTAAATAAAAAATAAAAGAACATGAATAAATGCACTTACCGAATAAATCTTTCATGGGAAATAAGGTAACTGCATAAGGGGAAGGAGGCCTAAGAGGAATGCTAAAGTGTTATGGTGGATTTTAGACAATTTTCCCATATTTTATATTTAAGTAATTAACCTTTATTTAATGCACTGCTCTCAACAAAAAAAAAAGAGAAAAAAACTTTATTTAATGAACTGGAATTGAAGAATTTATTCTACCTGTTTGTTTGGCGGGTACCCGAAAATGAACTGATTCCTGATAGGGATATATCTGTGCTAGTTTGACCTGACCCTATTAGGGTTTGATTCGAACAGTATAACCGGACCCAATTTAGTACTGGCGGGTATATGGGTCAACCCCATAACCAGATAAAGTACTTTAAGACAGCACAAAATTACGACCGTTATGTTCCTGGTTATTGGTCCTAAATTGGAAGATCAAATCAACGGCAAGGATCAGACATGACGTTGGTGGGCCACGTTCGTAATATATTTAACCACCAAAACTTACATTTAACGTCTTCTTCCCTCTCTTCTCTTCTTTTAGCGTTTCTTTTGAGCGATGCTCCGTTTGTGAGGTGGCCGTCACAATTCCTTTCAAGCCCGAACCTTTTCTCTCTGTCTCTCTGGAGTCTGGACTCGTACACAGAAAGAGATTGGTTTCGGAACCGGTAAGCTAAGATCTATGTGCCTTTGAATCTCGGATTCCATGTCGGTGAGGAGTGAAATGAAGACGAGTTGAAGATCTGTGGAAGGAAGGAAAAAGATCCATTCGCTGTTCCGCCTTCTTATTTCTCGATTTCTTGCTCTAATTCGCAATGGGTTGGAGATATAACGCTGGGTTGTTTCTTATCGTGACTGTTGTCATCATATGGGTCACCTCTGCAGAAGTCACGCAGGCCAGTTTTCACTGATACTTTTTGATACGTTGATAGAGTTAATGGAATTTAATTTGGCAACTACATGTTTTCTTGGCTGCAACTTCATGTTTTTGGTTCTAGAATTCAATTTGTATTTCTACCTTTTCTTAAAAATTAGAATGATTGCGCTCACCAACAAAGAATTTAAAGAGAGTATTTAGCATTTACGTTGTTGGTTATTTATTTATTTATTTTTCTTGGGGAGGGGGATCCTTACCATAAATTAATTAGGAAACATGTATACTTCTTGCCCTTCTTTATTTTTAGTTCTAATTTAATCCAAAACCAAAGAACCAAGAGCTTCATCCATGTCGGGCATTTGGTTCTGATTTTTCAGATCTTGCTGTCTTGCTGTTAAAAATAATCTTTATGTAAGTAATTAATCATTTAACTGAAAAGTTGATGCTTTTTTGTATTTGTTTTCCTTTTCTTTCTTTCTTTCTCTCTCGCTCTCTCTCTTTTTTTTTTTTTTTTTTTTGGGGGGGGGGGGGGGGGGATGGTAATGTTTATTAATGTATGTAAGATTCATGTTTACATCAAATGATAATATTTGCTTCTTTTTTAAATCATTGTTAAACAAACTGATAGCCAAGACAAAATCTGGATATCCTAGTGGCTGAGGCTTGGTTATTTCATATAGTTATCTCCTCTGGTCTAGGTTGTGGCAAAAGAGTTAAAACTGTGTTCTATAGCTATCCTTTTGCATGAGAAAGAACTCATGGTCATCTTTGGGCTTATTCCAGGACAGTGGGACCTAATACCTTTCCATATACTTAGTTGAAAAATGGACAGACTCATCTTTTTGCTCATTGTATTTCATACTATGAGCTTTCTACATGATTTTCTGCTCTCTTCTAAACTTCATTCCATGTTTGCCTCTTGTTCTTGTGCCTAAAGAACTAATAGAAAGTCAAAGCATGTATAAATCTGCAGTAAGCTTTTTTCTTATGCAATTATATTTTATCAACATTTCTACCAAATAAAATAAATTTTGAATAAGGTAGTGAACTCCTTATGTACCAATTGTGTAATATGAAAACACTTATACTTCAAATTGTAGCCAAATGTGGTCAATTGTCTTCTAATTGTTTATAAAAAGTGTGCTTTCCAAAATTTAGCTCTTTAGCATGGTTTGATTCTGTTCTTTGTGTTAAAAGGATCTATTATATCCATGCCTAGTTTTCTTTTATTTTATCATGTTATATCCATCCCTGAGTTTCCTATTAACTATTACTTGTTGAACAGGGAATATTTACAGACTACAAACAGCCATTTGCAGTAACATATCTAGGAGCCTCTCTTATGGTAGTATATCTCCCAATAGCATTCATCAAGGACTGGTTATGTAATTCACTGAGAAGTGACTCTTCTAAAAATGGAAAGCCTTCGAAAACTGTTGACAGGTCCTGTGCTGGACTTGGCTCTCCTCTAAAATTCAATGGGTTACAGAAAATTGAAATGGAACTTCAGGGCTCTTTGCCTAGAAAAGACAGCGAAACTGACCTTTCTGCTCATGAAGAGGGAAGACCTTTAGTGCCTAAGCATGAAGAAGAAATGGATCCGCTGAAACATGACAGAGAGCTTCCCACAAAGGAAATTGCTAAGTATGGATTTTATATTGCACCTATCTGGTTCGTAACAGAGGTGAGGCACTACCATGGTTGTCATTTACTTTTTTTTTTTTCTTTTACTTTTTCCAGATCATTCCAGATTGCATTGGTCGTAATTTTTATGCTATATTATGGAAAAAAATGATCATGGGTTCTACTTTCTAGTGAGATATATTGTAGTTATGGTCTAACTTTATCTTGATATTGTATTAAAATTTGTTTTCCCCAGTAATTAGATATTTTAACATCCTCATCTTTGTTTACTAGAGAGGTCTATTCCATCTGCAGTTCTGGGCAGTTTTCCTAAAAGAATTACATAGTGCAAATGCTTATCAATGACTTTTTTCACACAGTATTTATCTAATGCTGCACTGGCACGTACAAGTGTTGCAAGTACAACAGTGTTGTCCTCAACTTCAGGACTTTTTACTCTTTTCATTGGTGTGTTCATGGGAGAAGACTCTCTAAACATGGCAAAAGTAGTTGCTGTCTTTGTCAGCATGGCTGGTGTTGCCATGACAACTCTAGGGAAGACTTGGGCTACAGATGAGGCACAATTAAGTGCTGCTGTGTAAGTCTCTTCTGCCCATATTTCTTATCACATTTATTTTTAATCTACGCTTTTTGGTGCACAAATATCTGTTGGAACAAAACATGAAGCAACTACAACTACCATTATGTTTCTACTTTTAGCAATAGTTTGAGAACTTGACTTGGGCGTTCAGATTTTAAACCAGAAGTTCACTTTTTTACTTGCTTCTTTTGGAACAATGCCCATGAGAAGTAAATTTCATCCCAAAACTTAGGTGCTAAAAACCACCAAAAAAAGTTTAGAAAGATTAAAAAAAATGAACAGAAAGCTAGACAGGGATAAAATTGCCCCTTAGAGTTGTCAATGGCATCTTTTGTGAACCTTAAGTACTAAAGTCATTGCCCCAATTTAGGGTGTCAAAACAATTATGGCCAGAAGAAGCTATTTTTGTAGTTCATGTTACACATAAAATCTCGTGCAGATCATTAAAAAAATTGCAGTTTATTCAGTCAGTTTTCAATACATGCCATGTTGTCACTTTAACTTTCCCAGTCATTTTCATGTTTTTGTTATGTTGGAATAAGTTGGATCAGTGTTTTAAAAGTGAGAAGGGCAACTAAAGTGCAAAAGATTCCTAGAGCGTGAGGAACAAGTTGCATGGAGAGGCATGCACCTAAACAAAGTGAGGGCCACTTTCGAAAAAATGAAGAAAAAAAATAACATCTAAATTTTGAAAGAAGTTAAATATTTCAAGAAGTCTACTAGCTTAATTAGTTGGAGTACCATTTTAGTAACATAAAGATTGTAGACTGTACATTGAAGTCCTACATAGACTCAACCGTTTGTACTATAAGCATCATAGATGCAACATACAATATAATAAAATATATAATCAACTTATCAACATTAATTCAAGGTTAATGTCAAAATATGGCAACAAGCCAGGTTATGGTCCCTAGGTTGAAGCAAGATGTGTTCCATAAAATGAGCCTTGCTTATGAGCCGAAGGGTGCCTTTTTGAAAACTAGGTTGGACTTTCATAATGCATGTTTCAGAGCATCAGTAATTGGTATTTCTTTTATATATGCAGCAACGGAAAGCGTTCTTTTGTTGGAGATCTTTTTGGCCTTCTCTCAGCTGTGACATATGGGTTGTTTACTGGTTAGTGATTGTTTGCAGTATATTAACTGCTTGATTTGAAATAATTTTATTTATCTACTGTTATGAACTATGATTAAATACTCATCTTGAAAACAATCATGGCATAGTGCTCCTGAAAAAGTTTGCGGGAGAGGAAGGAGAAAGAGTTGATGTTCAAAAGTTATTTGGATATATAGGACTTTTCACACTCGTTGCCCTTTGGTGGCTTGGTAAGGCTTTCCTCATAAGCAGCCTTTTCCACAGTCAGCACTCAAATTGTTATACAATTCATTAGAACCTGTATTATGTTAATTATTTTGCAGTAGATGCATTGTTTTCTATCTTCTCCTTGCACTTTGTTTTTCTTAATATAAACTGATGTGAAATGCTTTGTGGCGAGGGTTTTATCATTCTCATCCATCTGTAACACACCTATCCCAAAACTAAATGAACACAGCATCATTTCAGAAATAAAAAAGGAATAATATGTTCTATAAGATATCAACTTGGTTATTGACCAACCATCTCTGCTGATAACATCAAGTTTTCTCAATTGGAAACATCTTTCTAGACCAAACATTGATTATTCTGAACAAAAATTAGTTTGGAAGAAAATATTTGTTTATCCATATATATGAAACCTCTGATTTGTGATAATGACAGGAACATCCATAGAGTAGTTAAAGAAGTTTTTGTTAGTCATACTAGTGGTTGATCAAGGAATAAAAGTTATACAAAGATAAATTTCTTCTTTATATTATCTAGTTAAAGCAAGAATAGTAATATTAGTGGTGAACAAGGTTTCTAAAGGCATTTGAGGTGTATGCCTGGAAGTGTGCCTCCAGGTGAAGTGCACTCAAAACTCCTCGAGGTGTGGATGCCTCTTAGTTGCATGAAGCGTACACCTCATGCATGCCTAATGCAGAAAGGAAGGAATGAAGAAAGAGAACAACTCCTCCTCCTCATTTTGTTTTTGTTTTTTTTGTTTTTGTTTTGATCAGCCTCCTCCTCTCCTCTTGAGGAAGCCTCCTCATGCTTGGGAGGCATATGCCTCTTGCATTCTGAACTATGTGCCTCATACCTCTGGGTAGTGGATTATAAAACATTAGTGATGAGTTATAAAACATTAGTTGCATGAGGCGTACACCTCATGCATGCCTACTGCAGAAAGGAAGGAATGAAGAAAGAGAACAACTCCTCCTCCTCCTCCTCCTCCACCTCTCCTCCTGAGGAAGCCTCCTCATGCTTGGGAGGCATATGCCTCTTGCATTCTGAACTATGCCTCAACATTAGTGATGAGTTATAGAGAGGAGCAATTTGAAGAAAAAAGGATTGAAAAGCACCTACGGTGCTATGCTAACCAGATATGGCAAGGACATCACTGGACATGGTGTTTGAGACAGGATTTACACTAAAAATTGAACTATTCAACACAATATGATGCCCCTATATGAGTATCTGGGACTCTGGGTATCATAGCTGTTCTTTTAGAATTTATACTTATCCAGTGAATTTGAACTGTCCTCCTTCCAAGACATCCAATATGATACCTTTTAGGCATGATAATATCATTGTGTCATCAGCGGGCAAGAGATTAAGTTTATAACCAAACTCAATTTTAATGGTTGTTCCATTGGAAGCAAGAGAAGATCTGGAGTAGGTGCTGAAAATCACAACAGAGACATTTTACTGGTCTACTCATGTCTGTTTGGGAAGGGAATGTCTGAGATCTTAGTTACTATTTCTCCTTCTTAAACTTCAGATTTGACCAATCCACTTTATTTCAAGTTGGTTGTTGTAAGGCATCCCTCATATTGAGGAGGCACTGGTTCAAACCGTGGAAAGGCAAGTTCTCCATGTTGAGAAGGGGATTACCTGTAGAAACTAGAAAGGATGTGGTTGGTTCAAGAAAGATGGGGCCTGTCCAGGGAGAATCCTAGAAGCAGAAAAGGGGTTGAGAAGGCAAATCAGGTGTTTGAGAAAAATGCAGTGTAAGGAGATTAAAATTTCAGAGAACGGCCATTCTGCAGTTAGAAGATTCAGAAGACAGCAGAACCTAAGAACAGTTCAGGTTTCAAAGGTGTTTGCAAGGCTGAAAGGGGGTCTATTTGGATTGAGTCCCGTTAAGAAGAAAAAAACAAATAGAACCTTGGAAGAGACAATAATATTTCATTGCAAGAGGATGGGTTCAGTTGCAGTAGGTATAGAAGGGTTGAGGGTGGATGGCTAATGTCGAGTTCTGTTGGGCTCTGTAGTCTAGTGTTTTGTTTGCTTTGTATAGCTGTTTGGGTTTGGGTGGGCACTTTTTTCCTTTGTTTTGTTTTTCAGGAAGGTTAGCTGGGATTTGGTTTGATTTGTTTCAATGTTGGGGTGGCGTTTCAGTTTCTCTGGGGGCGGGTGATTTCTCATCATCATTCTGTATTTTTCTCCTCTTTTCTGAATAAATTTTATTTTTTATTTATCTTCAAAAAAAAGCTCTTCAAGTTGTATGTCAGTGGGCCTCATGTGTACCTTGTCACTAACCCACTAAATCACTGACTAGGTCCAGCATATGGCACCTAGCCCTTATAGGGGCTAAAGTTGCATCACCAACACCAAACAAAGACTTGTGATCTGTTACCATTACTTCTCTAGAGGTGAAGGGAGATCCTCAAGTTGTGATGGATTGATGCTGAATGAAGATCACTCCTAGGTTCTGCAACATGCAACTGGGGAGGTAAAATTTCAAGCTGCAAGCATGAATGCCTTGAGCCTTGTTCAGATGGATTAGAAGATCAGATGATTCTCATGCTGATTCATTGGCAGAAGGGCGACTTGTTAGGGCTAGATTGTATATGGGGTCTACCCTACCATGGTTGATTGTTGGACTTTGTTGTATATTGGGTGGGTAAGCCAAAAATAGCTGATCCTCTTCTCCTGCAAGGAGATCACTGTACTTGATTTTTTTTCTAAATAAAAGTATTATTGATTAGGGAAACTTAAAAGAGTTACTAAAGGTTTTACCCATACAGGTTATCAGTTTGTTGGTGTTTTCCTCCCTTTCTCTTCAATTCACTTGCTTTAAAAGATGTTGGGTGACCATCGATGTCATAAAAACTTGATTTAAAAGAAGTGGCAGAATTATGTGGAGATGCACTAGAGCAGCAGTGATCTGGACAATTTGGGAGGAAAGGAATCTAAGAATCTTTGAAGACAAATTCATAAAAAAAAAAAAAAAAGAATCTTTCAAGACAAGGAAATAAGTAAAGAAGCTGTGATTGAGGTGATTACTCTCAGAGTAGCACATTGGGTGAGCACTTTAAAGCTCTTTGCTGACTTTAAGGTTGAAGATTTCTGCATATCGTGGGGAATAATTGCAGGTTCTTCGTCTAGTAGACAGATTGTTCATGAGGCCTGGTCTCCTCCATGTGTTGGGTGGAAGAAATTAAACTTTGATGGTAGTTGTATGGGCAATCCTGGACCATCGGGTATTGGTGGGGTAATTAGGGAAGAAAATGGAAACATTCTAGCTTTGTACTCAGGTCCTATTCAGCATGGAGATGTGGTGAGATCAGAATTATTGGCAGCAGTCTATGGAGTACAGAAAGCTAAAGAAATGGGGATTACTAAGGTGATTCAAATGTAGTTGTGGTCTGGTTGAAAAAAGGGGAAAGAATCATATGGGAAGTTAAGGAATGAATTCAGGAGATTCAAGCAGATTTCTAAAGATATGATGATCCAAATAAGATGGATTAGGAGGTCTGCAAACAGTTTGGCTGATGGTCTGGCAAAGCAAGAACACAAATACATTATGTTCTGGGCAATTCTGTAAATAGTGAATAGTTTCTGGGTGGGCTTTGCTTTTGTGCCCACAAATCTTTGTTGTACCTCTCTTTTCTTTTTTTAATCTAATGTATCAATTTTGTGTTGCTGATAAAAAAAAAATGTCATAAAAACTTGATTGCAATTGATGGTTGAAGTTGAACTGTTCAGACCATCACCCAGTTGCCTCAACAGTTTGGACTAATACCCATCCTTTTTTTTTATGGATAATACCCATCCATTATTACACCTATTACAATTACATTTTCATGAGCTATTCAGAACATTAAATCATGAAATCAGTTAAAAGGTCTAGAGAACTAGATGGTTCCGAGTGGTTTTCCCCATCCGAGTGAAAGGAGCTACAATCTTCTGGAAGTGAATAATGTGATAACAGCCAACCTCTTTTTTCCTGAAATTAAGAGGTAAAGAGTCCTTGAAGGAACTGCCTTGTACGGTACTTATATCCTTCACAGGAAAACATTTTTACATGATAACTAAAAAATATCCATCTTCAAATTTTAATACAAACCCTATCTTACCACAATGTCTTTCCTGTAATCCTCATGATCTTATCTCTATTATGCTGTTCTTTTCTATATCTATCTGGAAGTTTGATTGGATGACTAGTCTTTTTCTTTTTCTTCCCTCACCAACCCACCTTCATGTGTATGTAAGTTTGTTTTGTGCACCTGACTATGTGAGTGTTTATTGTCACAGCAAATATATGAGTGTTTTTATATGGACTTATTCCCTATTTCCTTTCCTGCATTAATGTTTTAGTTTGTTGAATAACCCTTTTTGACAAATCTATTTACGATGCCACAGCTTGGACTTTCAACATTCTGAATCATAAAGCTAATTGCCTGATTTTATTGTTTGTTCAAAGTTCTGTTTAATTTTGGTCACTGTTATTCCAACTCTAATACAAGTTAAGTTCTATAGAGCAAAATTTAGAAGGCCTAATAATAGGAAGGAGATCTGATTCTAAAGGATATTTTACTGTTCAATTTGGAAAAAAAAAATCTCAATTTTCTTTTCAATGGTGGATTGCCTTGCTACCTATGGGGTTTCTTTTTCTTTTCTTTTTTTCTTTTGGGTGTTGGTGATGCTGCTTTAACCCCCATAGGGGCTAGGTGCTATACACACTAGACCTAGTCATTGGGTTATGTGTTAGTGACAGTGCACACGGGGCCCACTGGCACACAACATGGAGAGCCTGCCTTCTGCAGTTTAAAACTGTGCCTCCTCAATATAAGGGGTGCCTTATGAGTTACGACCAACTTGACACAAGTGGATTGGTGCTATCCTGGGGTTTGAAGAGAATTGTTGATGGCTGTTGGTTTCCTCAAGCTATTTTTGACTCACAATGTCATTGGGAACACCATGTATAAATTAAATAGAATAGGTATATAACCATATGAAATATCCTTGGCTAATTTGCTAACAAGGATGAAGTATAACTACTTAGTCATCGACATTTATCAAAGGTTCTTGATATTTGGATTATGGATGCAGAAAAGCTTTAAGATTTAAAAGCTTTCCTTCTTCTCCATACCTTGGATAACTCTATTCTCTGATTTATGTAGCAAGGCTATGCTGTTGATTGTTATTTCACATTTTTAGTTTTATATAAAAGGTTAAGTTATGCTTTTACCTAGTAAGAAATTATATTAAATAAGAGGGATGTTGAAGGAAGGAAGTTCTATACTTGGATTGCCTAAACTTTCCTTCCTTCATTTAGCTTTTCTTGGCATTTCTATGCCCATACAAACTATCATGGTCAATCTAATATCATCTTTATTAATATAGCATTTCCTTTTAGGGTCTCCTTCCAACTTCAAGATTTTTTAAGCATGAAGTGTGTAAACCCTGTGCTGGTTCAAGTTGAATGGTTCATTTGTTAGCAGAAAAATGTACGAACTAATACATCCAAAAGCATAATTCTCTGTAAAGGGTTGTACTTCACTAGATAGAACTATTATGCGGAAAATAGTGGCTTACAACATTTAATAAATAAAAGTAACATTAGTTCACAATGACTTATTTTGCATGTATTCTTGTCTGTTTATTTATATTTTCAGTGTGGCCATTAACTGCCCTGGGAATCGAGCCCAAGTTTACTATTCCTCACTCTGCCAAAACGGATGAAGTTGTTATTGCAAATGGTCTTATTGGAAGTGTCCTATCTGACTACTTTTGGTATGTGACATGCAATCCTTTCAAACTTACTCATCTCCAGGATGTTATTGTTCTCATCTTTTGAATTTATTCTACTCCTCAGGGCACTATCTGTTGTTTGGACAACTCCACTTGTAGCCACTTTAGGCATGTCTCTAACAATACCACTTGCTATGGTGGCTGATATGATGATTCATGGCCGTCACTATTCAGCAATTTATATCCTTGGCTCTGCTCAGGTAAAAGGATTCACTGTTTGACAATAGAAACACATGGTTTGTTGTGAGTTGTGACAACCATCCTGGCTTTCTGAGCAATAAAATGTTAGCCAAGTTGAATGCCATTCATCCTTCCTACTTTGGCCTTGGCTGTGTTGCACAGGTATTTGCAGGGTTCGTGATAGCAAATCTATCAGATTGGTTCTCCCAAAAGCTGGGATTATAGCATTCTATCAGGATCTTTGCAATTAAGCTGGCAATCATATTCTTTATCATGGCACATAAAAGATGCTACACGTATTCTTTGAATTGGTTATAGACCTCACCAAAGAAAGAGAACTGCAGGGAGGGAAAGAGATGGAACTTCGGCTTTGATCTAGCGATTTTTGTTCAAAAAAGTTTTGGTCTTTTGGGTTTTTGTACATGTGTGAGTTCTTGTTTGTTTCAACAGGGCCATGTTCATGTACTTGGTTCGGTGAGAAAGCCAAGCTTCTGCCTTGTAACCATTGTTGTCTGTTCAGAAAAAGATGGCCATTTCCAAAGTATCTTATGGTGAAAAAATAAGGTGCTAGTCTGCTGCTAGCATGCTACTGTTGTTGCCTCGGGTTGACAGGTCAACAGAGTCCATTTTTTAAGAATTGATTAGTCCAACCCTTTATCCAACCCAACTGAATAGTAATAATCAACCAGCAGCATCTCGTGGTACAACCCAAGTTTAGAGGTGTAAAGTGGGCCGTGCTGTACTGGCCCGCGGGCCGTCACGGGCAGTGCCGCCCTCCCCGGTGGAAATTTTGGGGGTCGGCCTGGCACGGCCCATGGCCTAGGTGGGCCTGTGCCGTGCTTAGGGGTGATCATTTCAGCCTGCCCGGAAATTCTGGGCTTGGGCTTAATACTTCAAGCCCAGCCCGGCCTGCATATATTTAAACTTACACATTTTATGTATAATGTGTACATATGTATACTGTTATTTTACATTATATTATATATTTTATATATAAATATTATTAACATGACATGTATAATTTATATTATATAATATATAAAATAAAAGTTTATATGCATGTTATGTCATTTAATATAAAATATTATAGATATATAATGTTTTATATATGAAAGACATTGGCCCGGAATTAGGCTCGACTCGGCCCGGCCCGGTGTGGACCTGGGCTAGGGCTTATGTTACAGGCCAAGAACCCCGGGTCGGGCTGGGCTTGAGCCTAAGCTTTAGCCCTTATCATAAGTGCAAAGCCCGGCCCGGCCCATGATCACCCCTAGTCGTGCTGCGGGCCTGGGCCAAGTCGGGTTGTAGGCCATGCCGGGTTGGGCCACAGGGCGGGCCTCAGGCCTGGCCCTGTGGGTCGAACTGGGCTAGACTTAATGGATTATGGATATCAGGATACGAATAATAACGAATTTACGAACGATTACCCAAAAAATAAATAAATAAAAGTATAAAACAATTCAAATATGAATTTAAGAATTTTATTTCATTTAAATTTGAATAAATAATGATACAAATTACAAAGCGTACAATTATACAAATATTGAAATTATGATTTATGAAATATACAATGGTTGGATACTTCATAAATCATACTTCATACTTGGATGAATGAAAAATGAAAATGGAATAAATTAATAAAATATAAAAAATACAATATAGGCTATATAGTTACAAATTGAAAATACAAAATTATATTGATAGCAAATAAATTAAATAAAATTAAAACAAAATTTACATATACATTATGATGAAAGCATTCACATACACTTTCATCATCTACTTCACGTGAAAAGTGAAATATCCAATGTATGTAGTAGTATCATGCCCTCCTTTGTCTTGTAATTGTAAAGTTGTAATCTATATTCTATATCATAATTCATGATTGCATCTAACCAACCCTGGTACAATGGTAGTGTGGTACCTATAGGTCCTACACTAAAACAACTAAACAAGACTCCGATAGAACTGTAGCCTGTATACAACGGAGGGGTTAGTAGATCACGAATCACGTGCCATGGCGGGATTGGTGGCGAGAAATGTTCTCTGAGACTCCGACTTCTCCCAATATTTTTAAAATTTATTTTCCATTATTTCAGAAATTCATTTTAATTGTGGGTTATTTCTTCTTCCTTCTCATGTGTGAGAAAATGTCTAGTCAAATGGCCAATACCACCCTTGCTACAATAGCTAAAGCATTTTCTACATTTTTGACAAACTGCTCTTTTCCCCTTTCCCTCAACATCCTCTATTTTAAATACTCTCCAAATTGGGCTATTAAACTTGGGGTTTTGGGAAGAGCTGGCCATTTTTTTTTCAAATTCTAAAAAAAATAAAATTAATTTAATTGGACTTACCCCAGATTACCGATTTAGAATCCTAACTTGATTTCAACGGTTAAAGCCTTTCAACGTGACAATCTCCAAGGCTCCAAACCTCCCAAATTGCCAACTTGGAGAATTAGACAATCAGTCAATCAGACTATGAGACTATTAGAGTTCACTCAGATTGCAGAGAATGTATGAGATACTGAGAGAGGAAAGACTGAAGAGATTAAGAGAATAACTTAATAAGAGAATTGTTGAATTGGTGTGATGAGAATGGAGGATAAGGCTATTTATAGGAATTGAACATAATTCAATTGCCCAAAATACCCAAAAAAACTAGTTGTTATTTAGTTGTTGGGAGGGGTATTTTGGTCATTGTAAAGTTATTTATAACTTTACCGAAAAAGCTCCCTTAAACTAGTTGTTATATACCTATTGGGGGCATTTATGTCATTTTCTTAACCACCCATGAGCAAAATACACAAATACCCCCCTAATATGGCTATTTATAGTTGTTTGGGGGTATTTTTGTAACCCACCCCCAAAAAAGCTAAAACTAGCCGTTGGGCCCCTTTGGGGAGGGGGGGCCAATAGCTATATCCCGGGCAGGCCACGCACGGCCCGCCCTACGGGCAGCACAGCACCCAACCCAGCACTGCACGGACCTTCGTGCTGGGCTTGGCACGGCCTAACTTACATCTCTACCCAAGTTCCAACTGCCCCAGTATAATAGTGTTTGCTTCTGTTGCCGCTTATTTGTGTGAGAGCAGCCATTGGGGAAACTTTAATTTTTAATGTTTATCTCAACACCAAGGGAGTTCGGATCTCCTACCCATGACAATTCTACCCACACCTATCCACATGAGATCACAGCCACACATGTGGAACATCTCACGCTTTTACATGTTATTATGTATGGGATGTTCCTAATGCACGGAGGTAGTGTTTTTTGGGTAGTGCGAATAGAATTCTTGTGGGTAGGAAATCTGTAATCCACTAAGGTGTTTATTTACTATTCAACTTATATGGTGCCTAATGGCATCCAATGGTGCTTAGCCGTAAAACAACATCAAAAAATGCTTATCAACCACTTTTCTTGTTTTTCAAGATAAATCCCATACAAAATATTTATTAAATAAATGACCACATTACAAACAACCCTTGTATGTTTGGTAGTGTGACTGTTCCTCACATGGTGTTTTTCCAAGGAAACAGCCACACCTTGACACATGCCGTGGGCTCGTGGCTAAAGCAGTTTCCTATGCTTTTTTGTTTGACCAGCTAGGCAAAAGTAATAACAGTTAAAAGGGTTTTGACCCTTTTTTTGGGTGTCACACCAGCACCAAGTCAGCAAATCATGGTCAGCAATGCAGGGGTGAGGCAAGAAATGCCATTGCCATTGAGGCATTGCTGCTTTCCTCAGAGAAGCGTCACTCCTGAATTTTGAGACATAGCTGCTTTTCACATTTTTACAAAAACTTGTGTGAACAAAACAGTGGAAACGGCATGAAAACCTGAGGTGATGTTTGGTACTGTTTATGTTTATTCAGTAAACATTTATTGATGGTGCCACATAGGTGCCATCTCAGCATTTTCTCTCTCTTGCTCTTCTGCATATATTGAAAATGTAAAAAGTGAACTTTGGTTTATATGCATGCCAGCTGTTTGTAGAAGTTATTTTTTGAATCTTCCACAAACGGCTAGGTGTTTATTCACTGTTATGCTGAAGTGGCACCCAGTTGTCATAAAGGGTTGCAATTATTTCATTTCTCAGTTTTACCAGCAAATAAAGTACAAACATTTATTTAATAAACATAAACGATACTAAACACATACCGAATTGGCACTATTTTTCTGAGAAACAGTATTGATACCAAACAACACCTTAGTAGTTCAGTATTGATACCGCGTCTGTTAAGATTGTGTTTAGTTTGATTGAAACTGAAAGAGAAACAGGAAGGGAAAGTTATTAACTTTATTATTTTCTATCAACCAAACATAGCCTGTGTCAAGTGAATAGGCTTGGAAACTCACCACCGACAAATTGCAATCATCGACGATGCAGAGTGCAGATCCAGGTCCAAACACACCAACTTTGAAGTTCTGGTGAAGTAGTGAGCATCCACAGCTAACATTTCGATTGCTGTCAGAAAACTGATCAAAAATTCAAAATCATTAACTACTTAAATATTTCTCTCTCTCTCTGCAAGTAATAAAAATTTATGGCATCGTACCCCAGAGATATTTGGCCTTTTCCCCTGTATATTTGCGAAGTTTCATGGCTCAAGTGTGATTGTACCTACTCTATTATAGTATCATCCATCCCCCATCCAAACGAACAAACAAAATTGGTTAATTGCTTGGACAAAATAAAATAAAAGGGTTAGCAGAAATACACAAGGTTGCCGGCCAAGACCTTTTTTAGCTTCTTTCTGTTTGGACAAAGCCGTTGGAATTGGAAAATGGAAACCTAAAATATTATACAGCACTTTCTAGCTAATATGGCAATGAGGCTGATAATGGGGCATCTTGATTCTTGCAATTGCAGTGGGTGGGAATCGAAGCGATTTAGATGGCCATAACTGAAAATAGCAATGTATTACTTTGTTCTTCACAATAACTACCTTTCAATTACAACAAGCAAGTTCACTAATTTCTGGGTATTTTTGTTAACTAGGGTTTTTGAAACCTTAGGTTGCATTTGGAAATAACGCAAATGGAATGTAAATCTCAGTTTATGATAAATTTGCACTCTGGTTCATTTTTGCCTGTATTTGGTAATATTATATTTTTGCATTGATAAATGATAGATCAATGCATATTTACATTGATAATAAGATGTAAAAGTACATCAACAAAAAAGAAGTAAATTTGTATTCAAGTGGGCTTTTGATAAAAAAAAAAAAAAAGCATATAATTTATTGTTTGCATCTATTACAACTAAGGAAGTGTTTTGTAGTGTGGACGAAAAATTGGTGGGTATGGACTAGTCCACACCACACCTTGTGGCAGGGACCAATTCCACACCACACCACAGCCCACAACTATTCTGAACTGTGGACAAATTGTGTGGACCAGACTAGTCCACACCCACAGTGGCGTTCTGTAGTCCACACCACACTTTTTTGATTCTATGTATCTCATGTACATTTTATGAATGATCTACACCAACATTTTAAAAAACAACTCAGAAACGGAACCGTTCTGGCCACCGGTTTCTAGGTCGACAGTCCGACCCTCCGATTTGAATGGATGGCCCATTCTGACAAACAAATTAAAAAATAAAAAAATAATTAAAAATAAAAAACGATAAAAAACCGTTGAATGGGTTGATGGTTTGACTGTTCGAGTCATCGGGTTGTTGACTTTCTCAACGATTTTTAGCCAAAAACCGTAAAATGGAACCGCTTGCCTGGACGGTTCCCTAGCTAAATGGTATGACTGTTCGGATCAATGGTGGTTTGAAAACCTTGATCTACATAGTTAGTCATAAATATCTAATTTTTGCATTTTATATGATAAATATATTGAAAAATGCATCAATGAATTAATATTAACCAAATATTATTTTTTTTATAAAACAATAGTAAAATAATTAAAATTTTAAAGAATATATTTTAAATACTTAAAATATAATTTTATTGATAAAACATTAAAATTAAAAAAAAATAAGTAAAAATTAATATTTTATTGACAAAAATATTAAAATGTGAAATAGACAATAGGGTAACATTTTAGGGAAAGTGTGAAGGGGATCAAAAATCAAGTGTGGACAGTCCCCAACCACGAGATTTTACTAGGGATGAGAAATTGGGGTGTAGACGGGACCTGTCCACGCTATATTGGGGTGTGAACAGGACCGATCCCGTCCACACCCAACTGAACGCAACCAAATCCCATGGATGAGACCAAAACAATCCCGTCCACGAGAATTAAGCGGTTCTGAACACCGCCTGAAAACCTATTTGGTAAGAAGATAAATTTGTCAATACAAAACTAACCCAATTTTGTAATTTATATGAACTATTTTACATTCTACATATTTGCATCGTTTATAAATGCAGCCTTAGGAGTTAAAAAGAAGAATAAATGATTACCATGGAAGGGTTCAACTGTGCATTGTGCAATACATTATGACACCGTTGGAATTTGGAAACTTGGAATAGAGATGATAAGTATAACCACAAATGATCAACCAACCGACGATACAAATTATTAATCCAATCCAAATGGCAGAAAAAGTGGGAAAATGGGAGTCATATAGCGAAGGGAATTGGTAATAGATAGGGCTTAGAAGAGAGTCCGTTATCTGGCTGTCTGCTAAGCCCGTTATCTGGCAACTTGGGAAGAAATCTATCAAATCATTTTATCACTAATTCACTACTTAAATCTAATGTTTCAAAGCCCAATTGTAGGTACCCGTTTGGGAGGAATTTCATTCCTGCAGTGGCTTATGGCTATGCAAGGTGGGGCCCACGTGGCTTTAATTGGCCAAGATATCAACTTTGTAATGAGGATGGTTCTAGTAACTTCTTCAAAGTGGCTCAGTGCCCGTTTGAGAGGCTTCCGAGCCACAGCTTTTCGCATTCAGAGCTGGGCCCAACATGGATTTGATTTTGATATAAGTCGTGTTTGGTGAAAATCCAGAAAGCCAGATTTGGCGTCCCAAAAAAAAACGACTATAAAGTGAATCTACTGCAAATAGTTTGTCCCGAACAGAGTGATTCCCGACTGCGGCTCAATCACCGTAACTCAACGCACAAGCCCTCCCAGGCGTGGTATGGCATCAGTACGTTCTCATACAAAATGATATAGCTCAAAGCCTTTTGTTACATGGATATGGCATCAAGACCTTCAAAATTCTTACACCATTCTATTCCTCGTTACTAAACCACAATACATTTTGTACAATGAAATATGAAGATTCTGGATTTTGATAGGAGATAAAGTTGGTTAATGTGATTTTGGTTCCCATTGATCAATATACCTATATTATTTTTTCAGGTTAATGTAAGGCCTACAAAAAATTTATTTTCTCTACATAGGCCCTGTTTGATGATTAAGTAATTGTTTCAAATCACAAGTGCTTCTTAGAAATACTTGTTTTAACAACCCTTTAGACTGTTTGGTAACCCACTTTTTCAAATCACTTATTATATTTTTAAGTACTTATTGGGGTGGGAATGTTTGGTAAACTATTTTTCTCATAAGTGTTTATATTTATTCAAATGATAATTTTAACCCTCACTTCTCTCATACATATATACAATATTTTTTAATAATAATAATACGATGAACTCCCCTATTCTCCCTTCGAGCGATAGAGAGCGTCAACAACCTCTCCTTAGTCTCTCTCTCTCTCTCTCTCTCTCCTTTGTTTTTGTTCTTCTATAACCACTGAACCACGAACAAGACACTGTTCATCTTCCTCTCCAAAAGAGAACCAACGGCGGCTAAACGTCTCTCTTTCGATTCTTCGACACCCGAACGACAATGGCAACTAGATCGAGCTCTATTTCAGAGATCTGAGATCAAACTATGAGCTTTGTTTCAAAGATTTGAGATCGAGCTACAAGCTTTGTTTCAAAGATTTGAGATCGAGCTACAAGCTTTGTTTCAAAGATCTGAGATTGAACTACAAGCTATGATTCAAAGGTCTGACTTCAAAGCATAGAGGAAAGAAACCAAACGACATGTCCACTGGCCACGGTTCCTCGCCGTCGATCATCGCTGGTGGACCTACAACTGGTGCGCCACTGCTGCTAGGGTTTAAGGATCGGATGAGTGGAGAAGGGGGAGGTATAACCTTGCAAGGGTATTTTAGTCATTATGTAAATTTGTCAGGGACTAGTTCGTCTCAATATTTTGGAGAAGTACTTAAAAAAAAAAAAAAAGCCAACTTGAAGTCACTTAACGTGTGGTCCCATGTCTTAAAAGAAATACTTACTAAAAGTATTCTCAAATAAGGCCGTAAGTGGGTAAATGATACTCTGATACCCATCTCCCTAGTGCATAAATAACTTTTTCACTTGTGAAGAAAATTGTCAAAACTTGGATGAAACAAAATTGCTCCTTTTAATAATGACTTTTTATGGATAAAATGGTTATTTTCTTAATTACCTGAGAACTAAAAGAACATGGGTAAATGCACTAACACTTGTACCTTCTTACATTCTCTTCGGAACAGCCATTGTTCCCACCATACTTGTATAAAAAAAAAAATAAACAATTGCGGACACAATAGGCCTTAAATAGGCATAACATAACCAACAACTTTTCCTTGGAATGTGCTGCTGTTGATTCATATACTTTGTGCTTAATCAAATATCAACCTCATTGCCAAGGGAGGGGGAACAGTGGTGAGAATATAGAACTCGTTAAGAATCTAAAAATGGATTTAGAATGGAAAAGAATCAGTACAGAAGTAAACTACATCTCCCAAGTATTGCCACTTTTGAGACGAACCAAGGGAATAAAAAAGAATCAACCCCGCTATAAGATGTGGATATGCAAAAAAAGAATAAAAAAAATTAAACACCATTTAAGGAATCCATACCTTCATGGAAGAAAATTCTTTACTGCCGGAAAATGCCTAAAAAATTCAGGCTTACCTTACTCCCCCAACTGAAAATTACAAATAATCTTAGAGATATCATAATTGAAGAGATCACAGAGACCTTAGCTCATTTCCCAATGATCATCAGCAACCAACGGTATTGGAAACCCAATATGGGATATATTGGTTCAATGAGAGTAAAAAGTCAGCATCGAAATTTTATTCGACGAGAAATGATGGATATGATGGTTGTCTGTCTCAAAAATTCCAAACATCCAGCCCAACATGCTATTTATTCGCCAAATTCTGTTTCTGTCATGGCATTAGGAAGCAACCGGTTTCTCACTTGCTTTATAGTTCAGCACCTTCTGCACATAGAACATCATGTACCCCTGTGCAGCCCTCACAATGTTCTCATTAACTTGAGTAATCCATGCATCATCACATTTGTACCATTGATTACTTAACCGTAGGTAAGTCACATAGTGACCAGCATCCAGTTTACCTGTGTGAGTTACCACAGCTAACAACTCAAACTCTGAAGATAACTCATTGGAAGCATCAGGCTCATCTCCATCAAAAGCAAAAATCCGATTGCCAAATCTACTTCTCAAGATAGAAGAAGAGAGGTAAGGTGCCATGTCCAAAGAAAATGGGAACTGTAAATAGCGGTCAACCTTCCTTGACATATTTCGAGTAGATGAATGCTCAAATCTTTTTATGTGGAAACATGAAACTAGGGGAAGCTTTCTTATGGACATCTGCTTCAGAGATTCCTGCCTCACCTGACACTGTTGGCAGAAGAATTTCTGGTCTGAGCCTAATCTCTCAGGTCTTGTGAAGTGATCTAGGCACCCATTGAGGGTGGATATTCCACAATTTTGGCTTGAAATCATGGAATCCGGCTCACTATTGCAAGCATGATGAGATTTTGTAGAGACCATCTTTGCAGAACCCCCTTGACTGGGTTCCAAGTCCAGTGAAATGTCTACACATGGATCATAAGTCGTAGATGTGAAACCACAGGCTGTACAAGTGACATCAGATCTCAAGATACCGGAGAATACTCTATGAGCAATACAACAGTCTCCACTGCCTGTGCTGCCAACACCAAATAAGCTTGTCAAAATATCTAATAGGATTTCAAAGAACAAAAGCTCAAATAAATCATTTTGGCATATAATTTAAACCACTGACTTGTTAACAAAGATTTCTACAATAAAATAGTTGAAATAGTTTTTTAATAAGCAGGTGATCACAAATTTACTCAGAGAACTATTCCTCATGTCTTGATATGAATAGAAAACCACGAAATACCATCTGAAAAAAGACTGTAAGCAAGCAATTTTACAAGAACAATGGAAAAAAACAAAAACATTGTGCTAGAAAACATGAACAATCACCTATACCCCACACAACTTGATGAACTTGCCTTCTACTGATTGTAACAATGAGGCAAAGAATAGCTAAACAAATCAAAATGAATGCCACGTGATACGAGGGATCAGACTTCTCTCAAACTGATATAATTCATATTTGGATGTTCTCCTTTTTCCCCTTTGCATCTTGCTCATGGTAAAATGTGGCAATCCCTGATGGAACTGAACTCATTTACTTTCTGATAATAGCAATAGTGCACCAGCATATAATTCATCCATATTCACTTTAAATCAAGTAAACCATCATCTCTACGAGATGCTGGCAGATAATTTTCTCATTTCCAGAAGTTGAAAAGAAAATTATTTTCCTTACCCTTCTGACCAAGAAAAACTTATTCCACACTATCCAGAAAATATCCTAGGCCATTTTAGGATTGTGATTTTAGTCTATTGTAACTAAAAAACTCTTCCCCCTCACTTTGTTATAAGTGATAAGATATCTAAGGAGTCTTTTGCAGCCTGATCAGATCTGATAGTAAGATGCTTCAATGCCCATTTTCAAGTTTTTAATTTTAAATTTGTAAATCCAAGTGCCAATTGTGGAGCAAGGGCATGGCATCCCTTAGTTCAAGCAGCAGTATAACCAAATTTATAGGGAAGCAAAAGATTTGTCCATGTCTTCAACAAAATAAGATGCTTCAAGGAATCCACCATGTGGAGCATATCCAAATGCAGAAACCACAAGAAAATCCTATGATGTAACAACATAAACTAAGGAAAAGTATACTTACTGGAGGAAAGGAGATGACATCTTAAGCCTGCCCAGTGAATACTAGCCCATGAGTTTGAAGAGAACTTGCCAATGTCCTAAGGCCACAAACTAGATATACAGACCCTCACCCTGCAGTTGAATATTGTTGTTATCTCGTTTTTCACAATATTGTGGAGCACTATGAACAATTAAAAAAAAATATGGGGTGGGGAAGACTCTAGGCCCTCGTTAAGTATATTTCACTTATTCTGATAGATCAACTATCATTGTCTGTAGAGACATCATTTGCTTTTAATTAAAGCACAGCTATATTATGAGTTAAAACAATATAAGAGCATGTACCTCCTGTGTTCTGCTTATGTCATTTGGAACCTAACAATCTTTGGCTGACTAGATCAGAGTGATCACTAACGCCTCACCAAGGTCAGTCTTGTTTCTTTTGGTGTTATTTGAGTGCTCCAGGGATATATCAGCAATCCTTTCTATGCCTAAATGGTTCTCAATACAAAACTAGGTTTGAAAAAAAAAATCTTGAAGGTTGACAGCTTCCTACACTTCAATGCAGTAAAAAAGTATGGTTTTTTGAAGGTACAAGCGCCCCACATACTCAATAAAAACTTCATAAATCACATTAAGAAAGCTTTGCTCGAACATCCAAAATGGTTCAAACACATCTAAGAGACAAATTTAGGGCCTATGACACCCGAATATGACCATGTTCATTGTATAAATTTCCCTTTAAGAATTGCAGCACAAGCAGTACCAAGAACAAGACAACCAAAGAGCAATAAGAAACAGAAAATGTACCATCCAAGTGGTAAGACTGTTCATCCAATAATGCATGGTATACATGTGAACAGTACCATCAAAAGATAGATCAAATCAACAAGACTTCCCATGTTGAATATTGACTGGATGACACAATATATAAACCATCCATTCTATATATTTTTAATTTTTCTCTTTCTGGACACGCATCCTGAATATCAAAACACAATAAAGTAGATTCTAGCATAGACAGCCTCCATGACGAGACCTGTCTAATGGAATATTTACAGATGCCACATGTATACCATTTATACTGGTGTTTTTCATTTGTCGTTTTCTCCTTATTCTCCCTGATAAAACCTACAATATCTTAATATTCAATCAAAAGTAAACCACAAAATAGGCAGAAAGAGTTGGCAATAATCAAAAGACAGAGAAAACAGAGGGGCCTAAATGTTTTAAGGAATTTACCTTGGCTATGGGGCCTACTTTGATCCTTCTCCACCTTTTCATGGATACCATCAAGCATGGAAATGAAAAATTCATGGGCATCTTGCTGTTCATAACTTGCTAGATTTGCTGCATGTTGCCACCAACTGCAAGAAACCACAGTTTTCAACAATCAGAAAACTGCTACTTCATCATCACAACACTTTCAAAATTCCATCTGTAAAGTAGAATCCATTTGACTTTTTTGGTTTTTTTTTTTTTTTTTTTGCATACATGAGTGATTAGGCTAGACAACCCTGGAGACAGGAATATCCCAAGACCGAGAGTGGCTAGAGCAATAAGATGGTTATTAAAATCAGATTAAATTTCTAAGATGCTCCTCGAGTGTCCACTGGATGCTAGGTGATGAGCTAACTGGTTGGCTTCACTGTACATGTGATCATAAAAGACTTCTAGTTCTTCCCCAGTTGCTATCTCCCAGCAATCTTCAACAAGGGTTTTGATGTTCCACGGATTTTTTTTTCAAGCAATCAATAACTAGCTTCATATCTCCCTCAATCTTCACTTTCTATCGCTCACTTCTTCTTGCTAGCATCCAGAGGTAGCAACTGAGAAAATCTACTGATTTGATATTCAAGAAAATCTACTGATGCAACAAAAAAGAATCAAGTATACAACTTAGAAGTGTTCATCAAGAAGATCATCGGCAAGATATGACCATGAATAACAAAAACCCCAAATTGCAGTATCAGGTTGGTAGAGACCACCTGTACTATAAACGTATCCCTCATGTATTCAACTTTTTCTGACAAAATATGAAAAAAGAAAAACAAATGTAAGATCGTATTTTTATAATGGTGACTTCTGCAGTGAAGAATCCGTCTAACAGTTAAATTATCACCACCACATACGATTATATTGAACATTGGATGCACAGAGAAAACAAACTGAAGCACATAATATCTACGCAAACTCATAATTCCTTAACTGAAACAACAAACAGTTAAAACTAACTAAGATGACGAGATCAAAGAACAACACTTTGATATCGAACCAAACCTATGTAGAAATTTTGCAGGGCTGAACGGCGTCCGACCACCCGAAAAAACAGCAGAGAACATTGCATCCATGTCGCAAGCCAGACACAACCGCAAATTCTTACTGCTATCAATTCCAGTGGCTTTCTTCCTAGGGACATTGTTGGCATTGTTCTTCTGCTGACAGACGTAACGATTATGGCGATCGCTCAAGAAATAGTTTCTCAGAGGCGGCGTATGAAGCAGTGCTTGCAAGACCGAATTCATGAAACAAGTGTTGCCAAGATTGTTCAGACCACGCAATCCCCATGGCAAGCCAGCAGAAAGATCGCCATCTCCCTTCTGTAATGGACTCGAATACTTTCCCATCAAAATGCGTTCTCTCGGATCGGGAGTCCACGGCCGATAATCCACTCTCCTCCGTTTCCTCAGATTCTCCGGTGGCGCCGCGCGCATTGTTGATCCGCCAAGCGTCGATGCCGCCGTCTGAGCAAGAACAACCGCGGCATCGAAGTCTCGATCGTAGACCTGGTCGCGACACGTGCAGCAAAAAAGTTCAGCGCGATCGACGTCGATGGCGATCTCGTGACCCGGCAGTATCGACTCGGCATGAGCCGCCGCGTGTGATGACTCAGGCGGTGAGTGGCAGAAAACGGCGGCGCAAGTGACGCATGCATAGAGGCGAGGACGAGATGATTCGCCGCAAGAGCTACAACGAGGTACCTCGCCGGGATCGCGGCGGATCGCAGCGCGGCCGAGCGGCTTGACTCGTAGACACTCCTGTAGGGCTCGGAAGGGCTTGTGGCCGTGTCTGGACTTGAAGTCGGAGAGGTGAGGACATGGCTGGGGAAGCTGACCATTATAGTGATTGTTCTTCGATGACGTGGGAAGAGATGCAGTTGCTGATGACATTTTGCGAAAGCGTACCAGACAAAACCCTAGACTTGGAAAAGATAAGCTTCATCGATCGATTGAATCAGTTTAGAAGGGATAAATAAATACTGATATTGGAAATCGGAGGAATGCAGAGCCGAAACTAAATCAAAATCTGTTCTTTTTTTATTTTTATTTGAGGTTCCAAGAGTCTTTCTGGGGTTCCCTCTTCGTCTTTAAGGAAATCGAAACTCATCTTTGGCGTCGTTTTAATTTTGATTTCGAAGAGAATAAAATATAAAAAAAAAAGGTTTCAATTTTATATGTTGTTTCGTTTAGATTTTGATTTTTCCCTGTTTTCGTTGTATTGGATCCAATCATCCAAGCAGAAAGAAATTTGTGTTTGTGGGGAGAGAGAGAGAGAGAGGGATTTGTTCGTTCGTCGAAATTCCCACGAGCTTGGTCATTGGTGGGTTTTGTTTAATTTTCAGCAAATGACAAACGCCGACCCCCTTGTACCTAGGACATTTGACAGTTAATCCCTATATTATTTTTTTTTGACAGTTACTCCTTATGGTTTTGCATAAATTGAACCGTGAACATGGGGAGTGGTCGTGGAAAATTGGATTCTCATGTCAAGTTGTCAGTCTCATACATGCTTAGCCTTCTCTACGCTTGCCCAATTTACGTTAAAGGACATCATCGTCATTTTTACCTATAAGATTTTTAGGAAAAGTGATGTTATCTTCAGTCAGACCTTCAAAAGCTTAATGTACTCTTTGAGGGGTGGTCGACCTCTTTGAGTGCCTAACCTTGGCACTCCTAGACCAACATCCCTTGTAGGGCAGCCCTAATTAATGGCTAACATGGCTACCAAGGTTCTTCATGGGCGCACACATACTCATGGGGACAGTGCATAGACTAGCACTACGCCACTGACACTCAAGGGAAGCTTGGCATGCGGGCTTGGCCTAAGCATGACCCTTCACCATGCCAGTCCCTTGCCTAAGTTGAATGAGCTATCCCATTGCCCATAGTGCATGGGTGTGTTCCGGCCCAACAGTTACCTATCATCATTGGCACTCAAGTGCCTACATCATCGGCATACAGGAGACCCTTCACATCGGTGCCAAGTCATCTCTCATCATGGCCTTCCCCCTTTAGTATGTAAGCAGCACCTCCCACGGACCGGCCAGAGCCAGCAGAGAGCCCCAGCCATGCGACTTGAGGTCATATGATCCAATGCTGCTGACCTTGGTGGAGCCATCTCATCGAGAAACTCCTAGCCTCGCATCACACACAAGGCTTGTTCTGGCCTACCTTGGCCTGGACACCGCACGAGTTTCTTCCGCTGCAGAACTACCCCCGTGACAATTGGTACCAGAGCCAGGTTAGCATAGAGCCAATTGAAGCGGTTATCACGACAAGCAGCACATCGTGGGGTGCGGTCCCTAGGCACTTCCACTTGGGTACAAGCAAGCATACACATCAGGCCTGGCAAGAGACCATTCATCGTGTCCCCATTCCAATGACCCCAAAACAGCGCCCTTGCAGGGGCAGACGCATTGGTCGTTGTGTTCATGCGGGAACAGACGCATAAGCCATTACATGGAAGGCATATTGTGGCAATTTGAGTGGGGGAGTGCCATGCTTCCTTACAAACATCAATTGCCATTCATTTTGGTGAGGTGTGGGTGGTGCGCCTACATCTTGTTTTCATGACGGATGAGCCATTGTTCCGTAGCTTTGTCTGAGGCACTACTAAGGCGGGGGCAACAGTCCGGAATTGGTTGGTGTCGACAGTTGGTCAAGGAATATCACTAAGGTGGTTGTTTTGCATCATGGGTCATTGGTTGAAATCACAATATTGGAATGATAGGAATGTGGGTACACTGGCCGTTGAGCATGGCAGCCCTACACCGGCAATGCATCGAAGGACATGCTCAACTCATCACAAGGAAAAGCATTCACAGCAGACAACAACACATTACACAAGGTGACTGCATGTTCGGCAACATCATGGGAAAAAGTTGCCACACTTGCGCACAACTCGATCAGATCTCCTTGAAGCAGCAACACATTGGGCCCCCTCGGAGCGAAGATGTAGCCCGAACCGGCAAGGTGAAGTGTAGTTTCGAGGGCCAAAAGAGCATAAGCCATGGCTAGGTTTGAGTAACCCGAACATAGCAATGTGAAATCTGTAGGCTAGCATGGTGAAAGGGTACACCCATGACACACGCCAACAACAGGAGTATAACCATCACATCGTGTTCGGTAGCACCACCAAAAAGCTACCATGAAGACCGTCGAGCCTTGAGGTAAAGATGATACATGAGGCGGACCTTCGCGAAGCATCACACACAATTTCTTCAAGGGCCCTTCTCACACATTTCAACGGCATAGGCATTGTGCGGTTTGAGTAACCTCAACATAAGGGGTGAAATCCAAGCAGGTCGGCATGGTGAAATGGTTTCATCCCCATAAATGGACACCAATATAGGCGAGACCCGGATTGGCTAGGCGAGCCCAGGAACTGGCACACAAGTGGATGAGGCGAGACACAGACACCCATTCACAGAAGGACCATTGTCGAGGACGATAATAGGTTGAGTGGGGGAGCCTATCACGATCTGACACAGGCTTAGCCTTGCCTACGCTTGGTGGGCTTACGTTAAGGGACACCATCATTAGGCAGACGTCCAAAAGCTTAACGTACTCTTTGAGGAGGGGTTGTCGACCTCCTTGGTTGCCTAACCTTGGCACTCCTAGACTAATATCCCTTGCGGAGCGGCCCTGGTTAATGGCTAGCATGGCTACCAGGGTTCCTCATGGGTGCACACATGCTCATGGGGATAGTGCATGGACCGACACTACGCCACTGACACTCAAGGGAGGCTTGGCATGCGGGCATGGCCTAAGCATGACCCTTCACCACACCAGCCCCTTGGCACTCAGGTGCCTATATATATTCGGACTTTAAGGGCTCAAATCTTAGAAGCTTCTCCAAGCATAACCTAATTTGGCACTAGTCATGTTATAATGAGAATGGTGGAAAAGAAGGTCAAGGTGAAAGGGAAGATCAAACAAGTGGTGGTATGTTGGCAATGTTGGAGGTAAAATAGATGAATATGCAACAATGTTGAGGATTCTAATTGTAGGCATGGTGGCAGACTGAAAGTAGTTGAAATCATGGTTTTCAAAACTGGATGGTCGGACCAGAAAAACTGGGAACTGGTCACCTGATCGATCCCATTTTACCCCATAGAACCATCTTTTTGGCAAAAACCCGTTGATTTGGTCAACAAACTGTTGAATCGGGCAATCGAACCATTTGAATTATCCAACGGTTTTGGCTATTATTTATTTAATTTTTAATTTGTTTTTATCATAATGGGTCGTCTATTCGATTCAAATGATCGGACTGTTTGACTGAAAACTGGGGACCCCTGAATGTTTCGTTGTCCGGTTTGATTTTAAAAACCTTGGTTGAAATGATGGTTAAGTATTTTCCCAAAGAAGTATTGGAATGGCAAATTAATTTTACTGGTCTTAGGTAAAATGGCTATAGTTGGCAAAGGCGTTAAGGCAAGCATACAACTAGAAACAATGAGTTGGTCTTTATAGAAGTGGCAGTTCAGAAAACCATTAGGTATTAAGAGAACTACCACGTAGTGGAAGTGAAGATAGACGCAGATGTGAATCGAAATAACTGCTACATTAGCAAAAACAACATATTCTTGTTGATGTGGCCATTGTTTTTGTTTTTGAAAACAAAACAAACCACGTTGTTGCCCCCTAGATTACTAATACCACATGACACGAGGAGTTGTTTTGATGGTTGACATTTTTGGAGTTGGTGGAAGCAAGTGAACTAATAGAAGTAATGAGTAATGTAGTGATTTTACTTTGATGATCATGTTATGGATTTTGCTTCAATGATCTTAAGAAACCATTTTGATTTATTAAAATTTTCTTTGATCTAATGCATCACTTGTATGGCTTGGATCTTTTAGTACATTACTTTTTCTTTTTTCTTTTTTTAGTCAATTTGTGTTAGAAGTGTAAAGTGGGCTGTGCCAGGATGTGCTGGCCCACGAGCGGCCCGTGCAAAGTATGGGTCATGTTGTGCTGGCCTGCGGACTGTTACAGATTGTACCGCCCTTCCCAGTGAAAATTTTGGGGTTTGGCCCAACATGGCCCACGGCCCAGGCCCATGCTATGGTGTGCCGTGCCACAGGCCAGGTTGGCCCGTGGGCCAAGCCTTGGGCCAGGTCAAGTCGTGCATCGGGCCAAAGCTATTTATTTAAAAAAATTGACAAAAAAATTTAAAATGTTAATTTTATATGAATTTTGTGTATACAATTGCTTATATATAATAATTAAATAAATTAGTATAATAAAATTAAAAAAATTATTTATTTTATTAATATATTATATACTATTTATTACTATATAATTATAATTTATATAATATTATATATATATATATATATATATATAATATGAGATATATATAAATAACATATATGGGCTGTGCCGCGAGATGGGTCGTACCGGCCCGCGGGCCATGGGCGGCACGGCCCGCTCGGTCGTGCCATGCCGTGCCATGTCGACCCGTGGACCTAAAACCCCAGGCCCAACATTTCAGGCTTGGCACGGCCCACAGACTGTTGTGTCAAGCCATCCTAGGGGTGTCAATTGGATTGGATTTGGTCCAATCCGATAGAGTCCAATGTGAGTCCATTATAAATGGACCACCAATCCAATAAATGTTTTTGATCAATTTGAACCAATCCAATTTAGTGTTTGGACCGTTCAATCTGCTCAAATTCACTTTGATTTAGATTGGTCCATTGATACATATATTCTTATTTTAGATATTGACTTAATCTAACCCAATCTAATATAAATTTATTACGGACGGACCAGGTCCAATCCAAATCTATTAAATATTTTGGACCGGATTGGACCCATCCAATATGTCTTATTGGTCAATCCAATCCATCCAATTTGATTTTGAACGGGACAGGGTCCAATCCAAAACCGGTCCATTGACACCCTAACTGTTCCCACATGTTTACCTACGGGAAATACACGGCTGTGGTGTTTGTGGGTAGAGTGGGTTGGTTCGTTTTGTCCTGCTATCCACGCAATTCTCTGTCTTCGTTCGTGAGGGCGAAAGGTAGTTGTAGAGGGGCGGCTGTGAAACGGCGATTCCCCCTTTTCCATTGAAGTAGGGAGGGCCTCCTTCCCCACCATTCCGACCTATTATTGATAGGGATTTGACCGATGCTGAAGGTAGCTTGCTTCCAAGCCACCCACTGGAGAAGCTAGTCGCCAGAAAGAAGCGACGAGGAAGGGAAGCTGTCTACGAAGCTTTGCTTCCCCCCCTGTAGTCGTAGTACTCGGCTCGTCGCTACTTTGATTCAAAAGGTAACCGACGGTTCCCGACTTTCTCCGGTT